CTCTCTGTCTTCATTCACCCAATACCTCACCAACTCCACCATCTCTCTGTCTTCATTCACCAATACCTCACCAACTCCACCGTCTCTCCCTGTCTTCATTCACCAATACCTCACCAACTCCACCGTCTCTCTGTCTTCATTCACCCAATACCTCACCAACTCCACCGGCTCTCCCTGTCTTCATTCACCAATACCTCACCAACTCCACCGTCTCTCCCTGTCTTCATTCACCAATACTTCTCTCTCACTGCTGCAGATATGGAATGAGGCTGATTGCAAAAGTCCTGAAAGATTCCCTGCATGAGAAGTTTCCGGATGCTACAGATGACGAGCTCATTAAGGTAGGTGTCCAGTCACGTTGTGTCTGTTGGATGATGAATGGCGCTGACGTGTGAAATCCCTGCTTGGACGGGACACATCTGCCTGTCAGTTTCTGCACTCGGCTTATCAGAAGGGTTTGAACAGATTTGTTTTACACCGTTACACCTCCTGCTCCATGTGAGACTGAACTCCATCAGCCAGGAGAATCCCATGTCAGAGCTGGACAGAGTTACTTTACTGGGTCTGAGTTACTTTACGACCTGAGCTACTGAGGTTTAAAGTCTAACCCCACATTGCGAAGTAAATCAAACATTTTTCCAGCCTTTGATCATTTTGTTTCAACCTTGCTTCTCTTCTCTCTTCTGTTTAAAGGCTTTCGATTTCTCTTCTTTCCACACTCTTCGAACTGAGCATGGTGAACTCTCCCAGGTAGCAGGAGATTGACAATCCTTCGTTTCCTGCCTTTGGAAGCCTAGTCTGTAATTCCTCCTGAGGTGAATCTCTCTGTGAGTGGCATCTGAACTGAAGTTAGTTGTGTGCCTACTCTTGCCTTTGCTGCTGCACTCTGACTCTCCTCTTTTCCTCTGTCTCCCATCCCTGTCCTTTCACCAGTAGCTCTCACTGACTTTTGCCAGTGTCCAGATTATTCCAAATTCTGTACAAACTTGCCGAGGGTTTTGGGGTGGGTGCTGGGAGCTGTTGTGCGTTTTTTTTATTGTTGTGGTGATTTGTGTTCTGGATGATTTCAGATTGTCGGGAATCTGCTGTATTACCGCTACATGAACCCAGCCATTGTGGCTCCTGACGCTTTCGATATCATCGACATCTCGGCTGGGGGTGGGGGCCTGACCACCGATCAGAGAAGGAACCTGGGCTCCATTGCCAAGGTCTTACAACACGCTGCCTCCAGTAAAATGTTCGACAAGGAAAACTGCCACCTGGGCTCAGTAAACGATTACCTCTCTCAGGCACACATGAAGTTCAGGTAAATCGATCTCGATCTCTCGCTGTTCATTATACAATGTCCCCATTTCCCAGGGAAGACTCCAGGACAGACACAACACAGACCCCATCTCAAACCGCTCCCTCCACCCAGTCTTTTCATTTGGATATTGAGTTGGAATTCAGCACTTACACATCAATAACTAAACATTCAAACACAGCAGTGACTACAGTGTGTACCATCTACAAGACGCACTGCAGCAACTCAGCAAAGATCCTCCAATCCCACAGCCACTACTGTCTAGAAGAACAAAATACATGGGAATACCATCCCCTGCGAGTTGCCCTCCCTATCCTGACTTGGAAATATGTCACTGTTCCTTCACGGTCACTGGGTCAAAATCCTGGAACTGCTTCCCTAATTGCAATATGGGTCAACCCACCACAGGTGAACTGCAGCAGTTCAATAAATCAGCTCACCACCACCATGGGCAACTACGGTCAGGTCACATCTTGTGAGCAAATAATAACAAACAAAAAAAAAAGAAGGCTTGCAATTATATATTACCATTACTATATCCACCCAGCGCGTGATACAGCAATGTAATCAGGTGTAGAGTCTCTTAAATAAACATTGGAATAGACAGGATCCAAAGCTTGGCCAGAGGTGTGGGTTTGAAGGAGGAGAAGGGGATAGGATTAGGAAGGAATTCTGGAGATTATGGTCCAGGCAGCAGAAGGCACAGCGTCCAATGATGACATGGTGATAACATTGTGGATTTTCTCTCTCTCTTTCTCAATTATTCTTGCTGTCTATCTCTTCCTCGCCTGTCTTTCCTGCACACTTAATGTCCCACTCTATCCAGACGATTCTTCCAGGCTGCTTGTGAGGTTCCGGAGCTTGAGGACCGTTTTAACGTTGATGAATACTCAGACCTCGTGACCCTGACAAAGCCGGTGATTTATATTTCCATTGGAGAGATCATCAACACTCACACGGTGAGTTTACTGGGCAGGAAGAGCAGCAGCCTCCCTCTGGGTGCAGGGATTCAGCTTTTCTCCAGGTTGAATCTGTTGAGACAAGGCTCACCACTGTACTGCATGGGCTGTGTCAGCTTCTTGTCCACTCTAACTGTGTTGAAATAGCCAGAACCAATCCTACATTAGGCTATTCCAAAGAGAGATGATGTGTGTACAGAGCAACGATTATAATAGTTTGCTGCATGTAGCTGATGTTGGGAATGCATTGCCCAACCTCTGATCCCATTTCTTCCCTGTAGTTATTTGTTTCTCACAGTAATTTGGCTTCAGTAGCCATTTGTGAAGGGTTGGTTAGCTCAGTTAGATGGATGACTGGTTTGCAATGCAGAGTGACACCGACAGCATGGGTTCAGTTCTCACAGCAGCTGATGTTACCATGGTCAGTCTGGATAAGTTGGGCTGAAGGGCCTGTTTCCATATGAAGGACTCTCCTCCATAACCTCTCCCCTCACCTGAGGCATGGTGACCCTCCGGTTAAACCACCAGCAGCTGTCACTCTAACAAGAGAGCAGCCCTATGGTCATCTGGCATCATCCTTTACCTTTAACATAGAGTATGAGTTATATTTATGTAGCACCTTTCACAACTCTTGAGGCATTTCCAAGCACCTTATTCAATTTTGAGTGTAATCAGAGAGTGGGAGTGCTGCGTATCGGGCCAGCCAGAATGTGTGAACCCTCAGACAGCGAGAGGACAATTACATCCTGTCTTCATCCCTTTGATTGTTGCTGACTTATTTTTGGGTCCATTGTCCATTTATCTGATTGGTTGCTTTCTCTCAAACTGTAGCTTTTCCTGGATCACCAAGATGCCATTGCTCCAGAACACAATGATCCCATTCATGAGCTGTTGGAAGATCTTGGCGAAGTGCCCACCATTGAGTCTCTAGTTGGCAAGTACCCACTGTTTTACTCTGCTCCTTTACCCCCTCACCAGCTTCTCTCAGACAGGACGGAGGAGTCAGGGGCGTGTTCCTCATTAACATGGGGATCAGACCCCTGACCTGGCCAGTCTTAGCGGCTCTTTCCTCACTGCGGCGTTCTGAGCAGATTGACTCCTGTGTGACCCTCTCTGACCCAGTCACTTTCCCCCAGGATTTGTGGTGACAATCCAGCTATCTATAAGATGGAATAGAAATTGGATTTTGTCGCACTTGAGCTAACCCCATACATATTGGGCAGAGAGATACCAAACCCTTCAGATCTCTGACACAAACTTCATCCACTAACCATTGACTATATCTCCTTAACATCCAACATGGTCCTGAACTGAGCTTCCAACCCAACATCATGTAAATCACTAAATTAACATTCTTCCCCTTCCTTAATATGACCCTCCCTCCCCTTCCCTCGGCCCATCCCTCCCCTTCCCTCAGCCTATCCCTCCCCTTCCCTCAGCCTATCCCTCCCCTCTTCAGTCCATCCACACTTCCATCCTTCCATGTCAGACTGTTGCAATGTTCTCCTGTGCCCCTGCCACCTTGCCCCGTTTGTCAATTTGCATTTTTCCAGAATTTCAAGTCACCCTTCCACATTCCATCATCGGATTCAAGTTCAACTGTAACCTCATCCCTTTTATCTCTGTCACCTCCTCCAGCCCCTACACCCCCTCCCTGTCTCTGTCACCTCCTCCAGCCCCTACACCCCCTCCCTATCTCTGTAACATCCTCCAGCCCCTACACCCCCTCCCTATCTCTGTAACATCCTCCAGCCCGTACACCCCCTCCCTATCTCTCTAATCCCCTCCAGCCCCTACACCCCCTCCCTATCTCTGTAACCTCCT